GAGAGAGAGAGAGACAGACAGACAGAGAAAGAGTCAGAGAAAGAGAGTCAGAGAAAGAGAGAAACAGAATCAGAGAAAGAGAGTCAGAGAAAGAGAGAGACGCACAGAGAGAGAGAGAGACAGATAGAGAAACAGAGTCAGAGAAAGAAAGAGAGTCATAGACAGAGAGAAACACAGAGAAACAGAGTCAGAGAAAGAAAGTCACACATAGAGAAAGAGAGACAGACAGACAGGCAGAGAAACAGAGTCAGAGAAAGAAAGAAAGAAAGAAAGAAAGAAAGAAAGAAAGAAAGAAAGAAAGAAAGAAAGAAAGAAAGAAGAGAAAGAAAAAGAAAAAGAAAAAGAAAAGAGAGAGATAGAGGGCCCACCTGAGGTGTCAGTTCTCTTGCTGATTTCACGGTCGCTTGGATGCCCTCCACGGTACTTTTGTTGGCTGTCCCAACAGCTGCCGCCTTTTCCGCAGTCGCCCCCAGCCTCGCTGCGTGGTTTTCAAAGTTGGCTGCCCTTTCTTCAAAGACCTGAAAGGTGAAGTGCCCCCCCCCTCAAGAGTTTAAACTGATCCAGGACCAAATTGCACCAGCCCACTTGACCTCAGTTCTTCCTTTTTTTAAAAAAAAAATAGATTTTATTAATACAACGTTTTGTCTGGGTATAATATTTACAAAAACAAAAAAAACCTTAGCAAATACTGTACCAAAAATTATCCCGTTTGCTAATTCTATAATACAGATAGATGAAAAGCTCTATTAATGCTACAATACAGTACAATTCCATTTTTTTGTATTGAACTCATTCATATTTTTAGTGCTTTTAATGATTATAGCTGGAGACTTACAGAGTGCTTCGCTACAAAACTAGGTGGCTGGGCTTAGTTTTGGGGGAGGAAAATAAGGAAGAAAAAAAAAATCTGCCTCTGCCAACCAGCATCCATCGGTATTCATCTGGCTAGCGTCCTGTCAATGTATGAGAGAGTTGAGGGCTGTTTGGAAACTGAAAGTTGAGCATAACATGGAAAACAAATGGAAATATGGAGAGCTTTGACCCTAGATTTAGGGGTGCAGAGAACTGGGTAAATAAAATACATTGCTTAGCTCTCAAACTGTAGGATCCGACCAGACTGAGCACGAGAGACAGGTCAAGTATGTCATCAGTTTTGAGTCCTTGTGCACCCACAAGGGATCCAAGTACAGCCCGCCTTGCATTCCTTTGGCTCTTAACCACCACCAATTTGTTTTGATCATTAGTAGTTCGGATTGGTGGTGCGGTAGCCTAAAGGTGGAGCTCTCGCCTCACAATCGGGGTCCTGTGACTTCAATCCGAGGTGGAGACCCAGTGGTGGGATTCAAATATTTCTGCCACCGGTTCGGTGGGCGTGGCTTGGTGGGCACACTTTGCACGCCTGCACGCACCAACCAAACCTGCACTTTGCACAGATGCAGAGGCATTCTAACTCGCCTCCTGCAAGCCTGCACGATCCCGGTCACTTCGGCAGCTGCATGCTTCTGCGCCGCGCAAAGCAACTGCGCTTCAAATTCAGAGGACAGAGGGGAGTATGGGAGCCTGGGTGGGCCCAACAGCAGAGCGGTGGAGAAAACTGGTTTGGTCTCCTCTGCTCATCGCTCCTACCGGCTCTCCAGAACTGGGCAGAAATGGTCGAATACCACCACTTGTAGAGACAGATATATCTCTCTCTGGGCACCATGAGAATATATCTGCTGAACAACACTCCACATTGGTGACAGGACGGGCATCCGGCCAGTAAACACTCAGCTCCATTCAGTTGCCCAGACTTCACCCCACAAGGGATTATGGGGTCGTTAAAAGAAGAGGATGGTGATTAATGGTTCAGATCCTTCTAGAAAGTGTTAAACCTGCATTCATTTGAACCCGCCTTCTAACTACTTGTGCCTGATACAAACCTAACTTTGAAGGCCACTGATTTTGTCCTGTCCAATTAAATTACGTATGACCAAGTTTACAAAAGTTGACTTTTAATTTAAGAAATAAAATAAAATGTTGGACTCAGAAACGAAGTATTATTTGGGGGGAAACAAGTCCCATTAGTTCATTGATATAGAATCCTCAAAGGCTGGCATCTTTCAAACAACTATAGTTATACCACTTTAGAGCAGAACAGGTTGGAAGGGCGGAAATTAAAATTTCTGCTGGCCACTCACCTCATCCCTGTTGGGAGCATCTGGAGGAGCAGTGGCTGCTACTGCCAACAGCTTGATTGGGGTGGTGGTATCACTGAACACTTCCGATACTTCCTGGGTCATCGCTTCTTGCATCCTTGATTTAAGGTCCTTAACAAGAATCAAGACATTTCACACTGAGAGATGTACCTAATGAAAAGGAGGACTAGGGGTGACATGATAGCAGTGTTCCAATATTTAAGGGGGCTGCTGCAAAGAAGAGGGGGTGAACCTACTCTAGATAAACAATCCACAAGCGCTTGCAAAGGAGATCCGTTGAGAACATCAGATCACATAGCCACCAGCCTCCGAGGGGGATTAATTCCCCCAAAATAATCACGTAACTCACCAGAAACTCCACTAAGGCTCCAAGATCCCTCTCACAGGCGCTGCTAAAGTGTTTCTCATATAATAAGGCTGGGTCTTATTTTTTTATTTTGAGCCGCCCCAAAATGGCTAGGCTGTCTTTTCGGGGGTGACTTAATTCCCACCCCCCCTTGCATCTTTGGGTGGGTGGGCAGCGACAGCTTGGATGTTGACCTCGGCGTTGGTGGGGCACTTGGTATCGGGGTCAACGCAGGCAGCACCATATCCGGGTGTGCAACAAAAGTACTTCCTAATGGCAAGCCACTCCCCCCCCCATTTCGCATGTTTTAATATAGGCCTTAATTTGGAGGGAGGGGCTTAATTTCATTTCATGCCTATAAAACATGCTGGGACTTCCTATTGGGGGAGGCCGTATTGTTGGAGAAACAGGGTATTAAGCCTGGTTACACCCAGTCTTTTATTTAAGTATCAAATGCACAAAATAATACACAACTTTTCGGTATATTATCTTTTTTTTTTTTTTAGGTAATTAGGGCAACGAAGCGCCGTCGAGTTGGCCACACCCACCCAGACACATGACCACCCAGCCACGCCCACCCAGCCCGTCATGAGGGCAGAGAGCCCCCCGCTAAAAAAAAATTTGCTCCTCCTCTTTACCTTCAGCGATTCCTGCAGCTGAAGAGCCACGGCTCTGGCTTGTGGCGAGTCCCCTTCCCCTCTTGCAGCCAAATCAGCCAGCTGGCCAGTGAGCTGCTCCACCCGGTCACACTTGGCGAGCAAGTCCTGGCGGTAAGGCCCCATCATGACGTTGGCAAGGCGGCGCCCTTCGGCCACCAGTCCCCGGAGGGCAGCCTGGCCTGCGTGGAAAAAAACAAAAAACAAAAATCAATTCACCTTTCGGTCAGCTGTGTTCTTGGTTCAAGGAGAAGGTAAGAGAAAAAAGCTGTACAAAAGGGGAAAATTGGGGGTGGAGTAAAATCAAGAACCGTAAAGGTAGGCCGTTGCAAGAAAGTCTCCCCCGCCCTTCCAATGTTAAAAGGCATCTCCAGGCGTGTCCGACTCTAGGGGGCGCTGCTCATCTCCCTTTCTTGGCTGAGAGAGCCAGCACTGTCCAAAGACGCTTCCGTGATCACGTGGCCAGCTTGGCTATCTATCGGAGGCGGTATTCAGCCGGTTCGGACCGGTTCTGACATACCGATAGCGGAAATTTTCACTAGAATGGAGAACCAGCAAATACTACCTCTGGTTGGCCTTGCCTACTCACCCCCGCTGTTACCTCTCCTATATTCCCTTGTATTTTTTAGCTCAGCTGATTCGCGAGGCAGGGCAGATTGCCCCGCCTCAGCTGAGCTAAAAAAAAACAGCTCAGCTTTCCAGCGTTGACAGAGGTTGGTTTTTGAGCCCTCTATGAGCGCACAAAGTGTGTACAGAACTGGTAGGAAACCATTTGGAAACCCATCACTGCTGTCTATACACTGAGACGCACGGGCACTGTTACTTTCCCGCCAAAGTGATACCTATTGATCTACTCACATTTGCATGCTTTCGAACTGCTAGGTGGGCAGGAGGTGGAGAAAGGCACAGGAGCTCACCCCGTCATGCAATGCTTGGGTCTCGAATCCGGACTGCCAGCTTTCCAGCTGACCAGCTCTGCATCTTTAACCACTGAGCCATCGCGCACCCTCCCCAATGTTACCAGATTGTGAATCAAGACCTTGTTGCTCATTCTTTCTTAGGAAGTGATTTTTTTTTTACACAGCTTACCTACACCTCGATCATCCACGCTTGGGTTGTCTATCCATCTTTGAGCTTGCTCAATCTTGCCTTCCAAATGAACAGCCGGCTTGACGGGTCTGCTGTTGGCAACAGCTTTGTTGGTTTTGGACTGCAAATTCTGAAGGGATGTTGCTATTTGCTTGGCTAATGCCCGGGCTTCTGGAGAGTCGCCTTTCCCACTATTGGGGGAAAAGAAACAGCTGTTAAATAAACCTTGTTAAAGTGGCCCATTAAGAAGACAAAGTTTAAGGGCAAGAACAGTGAATCAGCTACTTATAACCTTATAAGTACTGCTGTTCATTAAACTTTAACAATGCCCTATGGATTTTTTAAGTGGCGATACGAGTTTACATTTACAAGGAGAAACAAGAATCGTAAGCTGGGGGAAAAAAACAAACAAATGTCATTAAGGTTGAATTTACACTGCTGTTGACTGGAAAATTGGCTTAGATACATCTTAAGAAGAGGAAGTCTGACTAAAACTGCAAACCTATCTCAGTTTTATCCCAATTCTCAAAGTGTCCACCAAACCAGTGGTTGCCAACCGGTGGGCCGGGGACCACTGGTGGTCCATGAGAAAATTTTGGTGGTCCGCAGAGAAATGTCCCTCCCCAAAGCAATTAATCCAGGCTGTGCGGGAACACAAGGCTGCGTCGCCCACATGGCCCGCCCACTCACTGGCCCCCACCCTTCAATCAAACCTTACCTTGAGTGGAGCCACACAAGCTGGAACTGGAAGGTAAGACCAACGGCCAGGGAGGGAAATCCGCCCCCAAGGGTGGCTTGCTGACATTGGTGGGAAAGTCAGTCCCATATTCCAGAGCTGCAGGAGTCACAGGACAGGCCCTTTGGTCACCCCAGAGCAGCTGCTCCTCCACCCGGGTGCATCGGCCTGCAGTGGACTGGAGCAGCTGTTCTGTGATGACCAAAGCGCCAGTCCTGTGACTCCTGCAGCTCTGGAATATGGGACCAACTTTCCCACCAACCTCAGCAAGCCACCGTCAGTCAAAATTTATTTTAGTGGTCCGTGGGATTTAAAATTATGAGTTTGGTGGTCCCTGAGGTCCAAAAGGTTGGTGACCCCTGCGCCAAACAATACTGGATTGAGGTCTGTAAGGGGTCTGTAAGGGGCGTGCAGAAGCGCACAATCGTGCCTACCATCCTTGTCCTATTGTCCCCAATAGTCCCTATTTCTTGTATTTAAACTTATGTTTATTCTTGTTTCTGTTATACTGTAAGCCTTTGGCAAAATAAAATAAATAAATAAATAAAACGTACTGTTTCCGAAGGTCAGACAATTTAGCTGTCAAAGCAGAAATCTCGCCCAAGGACCGCAAAATGTCATCTCTCTCTTTGGGGTCTTCACAGAGTTCTGCGATTTTCCTGGCTTCCGCCATAATGCCCCGGATGTGCTCTTCTCCTTCGCTGCCCCCGTTAGGATCTGCCAGCCAGCTCTTCATCAAGAGAAAGAGGGGGTCAACATGGGGTCTGCTTCCGTGGTGGGATTCGAACATTTTTACCACCAGTTAGGTGGGCATGGCTTGGTGGGCGCGCTTTATGCACGTGCACAGACTTTGCGTGAGTGCGCGTGCCAAACGCACGCTTTGCACAGGCGCAGAGGCATTCTAACTCGCCTCCTGCAAGCCTGCACTCTCCCAATTGCTTCAGCACCTGCCGCGCAACGCTATTCTGTGCCACACAAAGCAGCTGTGCTTCAAATTCAGAGGATAAGGGGGGGGGGGGGGGCGGGGGGGGGGGGGGGGCCCCAACGGCAGAGTGGCGGAGAGAACCAGTTTGGTCTCTTCTGCCCATCGCTGCTACCGGCTTGAGAGAACCGGGCCAAACCAGTAGAATACCACCACTGGTCTTCTTGTAATCTTTGAATCTCCTAACACTGAAATGCTGTTCGGGTCAAAAGTGATTCAACGGGCAGATAATGCAGCCCACATTTTCTTGGGGTAGCCCAATGTCTATCTCAAGGTTCTGGCATAAAGTGAATTTACAGGAAGCCGATAGGAAGAATACGTAAGATCCGCAATTGTTGCATTCGATCATTCTCAAATCATTTGTCAGCGTTCCAATGAAACTTCCCATTTCATTCAGCACTCAGAAACAAAATTCATCCAAGTAAGAACTGATTAAAGAAGTCATATTGGCACGTCTGGGAATCTGAGAGTGCCAGGTTTTCCCTTCCCAACTGAAATTCAAAGATCCATCCCCTGCACCCTCCAATCCATCACATGGCCTGACCAACCATCTTCCCAACTGGAGACATTCCTCCAGACACTCCTCTCCGGGTGCAGGGTAACTTGTCCTTGACTTTCTGAGAAAAGAATGTTGTGGAGTCTAATCTTCTACCACTCTGTGCAATTCCCCCTCGCAAATTCCCAGGCACTAAAATGTGGCAACTTCGAAGGTTCTACGTAAAATATGGCTTCCAAAGCTGACATCATTCCAGCAACAAAAGTCATTATACATTGGAAATCAGAAATCATTTCAAGGGCATTCACCATCCTTCCCTCTTCACAGCAAAGGCTGTGAGTTACCTGAGCAGCATCAATCTTCTTGGCTATGGCCTGCTTAGAGTTGGTCATGGCCTCCAGTTTGCGAGCTGCGTTTTCCACTCTCGCGGTTAGTAAGTCCAGCCCTTGAGCAATCTGCTGAGCTTTCTGCATGGCGAGAGGACTGGTACCTTGTCCCCTGTTCAAGGGGAGAAAAAAGACATATAAATCCCCAGATACATTTGCCACAGTTGACCTGGGTACACAGCATTCAGACAGAGCCAAGGCAGGATCCAGAGTGATGGGATATAGGCCACGGCTGCTTAGATAAGGCCAAACCTCCCCTAACTAACTAAATAATAGAACACCCCCACCCCACCCCGCCATCTGCCATCTTCTGGATTATGGACCTTTCATCTTACAGCTACTCAGGGAAGAGAAATTATGCATCATGAGGAACCCTCACAATATTGCCCAAAGTACAATCACATGACTGTTGGGGAGGCAGATGTGGTCGAAATCAGTCGTAAGTAGGTTTAGAGGGGTATGTCACAACTTCAAACAGTTGTTAAGCGATGGTTTTAGGTCAAGGAATACTTGCATTTGTTTTCTTTACATAATCCAGCAGCTGTAAACTGATGGAAATTCACCATGAAAATTTGACAAGCAGAATGCTGGGAAAGTTGAACAAGTTTTTTCCACTTCTACCCTGTTTCCCTGAAAATACAACCTATCCTGAAAGTAAGTCCTAGCTTGATTTTTACATGTGCGCCCAATATAAGCCCTACCCCCAAAATAAGCCCCAATTAAGTTCCCGCCCATTCCAGAGGGCATGGGTAAAAATTAAGCTTGGGTGGGGATGCGAGGGGTGGAGCTGCCCTACTACTAACCTTTGAACAGTTATAGCTAGGTCTCGCACACCCCGACACCTGCCTTACGGGCCCATTTCTCCTGCAGCCAGCAAGGCTGGTTAGGCTTTCCTGAAGCCCTCTGTAGCTGATAACAAAGCTCTGGATCAATCCAAAGCTCTGTTATTGGCTGCAGAGTCCTTCAGAAAAGCCTTGCGAGCCACAGAAGAAATTCCTGAAGGCCTCTGACAGCAAAAAGGATAGCAGTGAGATTCAAAAAGTTTTACCACCGGTTTGATGGGCGTGGCTTGGTGGGCACACTTTGTGCACGTGCACACATTTTGCATGCGCACGTGGGTGAAATGTGCACTTTGCGCAGGCGCAGAGGTGTTCCAACTCACCTCCTGCAAGCCTGCACTGCCCCGGTCGCTTCAGCAGCTGGCGCGTGGCACTCTGCTGTGCCATGCAAAGCAGCTGCGCTTCAAAAGCAGAGGATAAAGGTGAGAATGGGAGCCCAAGTGGGCAGGTGGACCCAACAGCAGAGTGGCGGAGAGAACCTCCATTGCTCATCACCACGACCAGCTCGGCAGAGCCAGTGGAAAATCCAGAGCTTTGTTATCAGCTATAGAGGCCTTCAGGAAAGCCTAACCAGCCTTGCCAGCTGCAGAAGAAATGGGCCAACAAGGCAGGTGATGGTTTGTGTGAGGCCTGGCTATAACTGTTCAAAGGTAAGTAGTAGGGCAGCTCCACCATCAGGCTTCTGGCAGATGATGGCAGATGAGATTCAGCCAAAACGTTGCTACAACTTTAAAAGCACAACTATAATGACGTGGGAGAATACCCGAACAAAGCTGAATACATGTAAGTACCCGCGAAAACTTAAGAAAACATATACACACGCACATATACACACACACACACACACACACACACACACACACACACAGATATGCAGGTCTTGGCATGTTCGAGTCTTTTTCCATGAAAGATTGAGAGTATCTTTTATGTTTTTATGTTTTATGACGGCAGCTCCGATCACGCTTTGCTCACACAAGCACGAAGCCTGAAAATGGCGAGTGGGACCTCGTCGAAACGTCACCAAGATACTTTCAATCTTACATGGGAAAAGAAAGACCCGAACATGCCAAGACCTGCGCGTGCGCGCACACACACACACACACACACACACACACACACACACACACACACATATATATATATATATATATATAGGCACGGCCTTATTTGGGGGGAAACATGGTATTAATGTACTAGTAAAATAAAGAGATATAAATTCTCTCCTGTGGGTGATTTTAGCTTTTTTTTTTAAAAAAAAAAAAGAAAGATAAAGTTTGTTATTTGTTGGTTACCTGGCCCGAAGATCAGCTAGTTGATCCGTCAGCTGGCCCAACATTTTGCAAGTGCCTAGAATCTCCTGGCGTTCTTTACCTGCGCACAACTCTCCAACGTTTCCTGCTTCGTCCAGGATTTGTCTTATGGCTTGTTCACCAGCGTCCCCTAGGAAGCAAGAATGGGGTGAATAGAGGCCCTATATCTGATGGAAGTAGGTCAATTCTGCTATAAAAACAAAACAAAACTCAATAACATGGATAAATGAATAGAATTTAAGGTTCCGAGATCCACATTCTCTTAAACAAGGAGTGGTTGGGCCAAAATAACAGGCAGCAAATTCAGCAACAGATGAAGGAGAGTAAAAAACACGCCCCCCCTGTCAATTATCCCATGTTCCAGAGGAGCTGGTGCCAGAGGTTGATAGTATCCTTGGCTTGACCAAATCTACCACTGGAGATGAACTGCTGGCACCTCAACCATGTCAGTTGTTGTCATGCCCCTAGTGGAGGCTGACTCTGAGGGAGAGGAGGAACAGCCGACAGGGAGTGGAAGTGTGGCTCCGGAGGTTGTGGAGGAGGCTGGGGAAGGGCAGAGGCCGGCTGGGCAGTCAGAGGAGGACCCAGGCCCATCCCCTCTCCATCCTAAGGCACGCAAGGAGGAGAGGATAAGGGAGAGATATGGTCTACTGGGGAGGAGAGGGCCTTGATCCTCTTCATGGGCTGCAGCTGTGACAACTGGATAAAAGGACAGACATGCATATGGGCAAGTGCTGGAAACAAAGCATGGAAATATCTCTAGTTTATTGTTCCTCTCTGAGTTCGGCGTCCTTCCCAGTGTGTGTTCTGATATCTGTGGACATCTTCAAGCCCTTATCTTGCTTGGTTTGTGTTGTTTTTTAACTCTTTATAATTTAAACAGCACCTCCTCCTTCTTGTAACTGCTTGTGTGGGAGTTTTTTTTTGTCTCCAGTCAAGGATATTTGGAGTTTGGGAGCAAAGTGAAGGAATAAAAGGGACTTCACCTGTTTTTTGTGACTGTGTTTATTTTGTATCCCACCCTGGGTCATCACAGTTGTTGCTGGAGCTAATACTAGGAACCTTCAGGCCAAGTTCTCAGTAGCAACAGCACTTAGACTTATATACCACTTCACAGTGCTTTACAGTCCTCTTGAAGGAGTTTACAGAGTCAGCCTCTTGCCCCCAACAATTTTGGGTCCTCATTTATCGACCCTGGCAGGATGGGAGGCTGAGTCCACCTTGAGCCTGGTGGGATTCGAACTACCAAATTGCAGGCAGCCATCAGTTAGCAGAACTGGCCTGCAATACTGCACTCTAACCACTACACCACCACAGCTCGTTAGCTGCCTGTCAAATGCAACCCATTGGGTTTAAAAAAAATGTTTAGGTACTTGGGACTTGGGAAAGAAAATAAATAAAATTCTGCAAATCTGGAGCCAATATTTGTCTTATTAACATTACTATAACTTTATTGCTATTTTACTATTACTTTAACTACAATATAGTTAAAATGAGTTGGTTACATTAATCTGAACAGCACAGCATGGCATGTGTCAGAAGTTATTCCATCAATTCACAATTGGATCAGCACTTTGGGGCCAACATAATCAAATGAAGACGAAGACAAATTGATTTAATTAATTATAGAGCTCTGCTCAAATACAGTATAATTATTTAAATACGGACTGTATTTCTTTACAAATGAGCTATGCTAATACAGCAATAAATATGCAATAACCAAGAGCAGAAACCATTCCAGAATATTAATTAAGGAAGATGACGAGCTAAATTCTTTGGAAAACTTAACAAAATAAACAAAGATTCCCAAACTCTCTTCTGGAGCAGCTTGCCCACTAATGCAGGGGTCTACAACCTTGGTAACCTGAAGATTGGTGGACTTCATAGCTATGCTGGAGGTGTCTATCACCAGAAAGTATACCGAAGGGATCATTGAAGCCAGACAAGTCTCAAAGTTGAAAACATTCTCAAAGATCCATCTCCTCCTGGGCGCCCTTGTTTTGAACATCTGGCAGATGGTACAGGACAATAAAAACAAGGACAAAGGGGCTGAAAAACAGCTTCTATCCCAGGGCAGTAGCTCCGTTGAATTCTACTGTATAGAACAATATTAATGCAGTGTCAGGGGTTTTCAATTCAACTGTATAGAATGCGAAGGATGTGTGTTTGTGTTTTATTTGTTTACTAGCTTGACACCCATGCTTCACAACGAACCTATGTGGCTGGGCTTAGTTTTTGGGGGGGGAAATGGGGTGGGGTGGGGAATTCTGCCTCTACCTACCAGCATCCACCAGTATTCCTCTGGCTAGCACCCTGTCAGTGTGTGAGAGAGTTGAGGGCTGTTTGGAAACTGAAAACTGTATTTGCTGTGTGAACAAGGAGACAGCAAGGAGCCTAGGCATGGCTTAGCTCAACTGTTCTGTACTAAAGCTGCTTGATGCTGTGAAACTAAAACTGCAAGTGCAACTCCTCTCCTCTGCTTGTGTTTTGCATTTGGAAGAGATTTCTTTTCAGATGGGGAGGGGGAGTAGAACTCCTTAGCATCAGAGTGGTCTTCAAACTTGGCAAGTTTAAGACTTGTGGACTTCAACTCCCAGAATTCCTTCTCCAGTCATATTAGCTCAGGAATTCTGGGAGTTGAAGTCCACAAGTCTTAAACTTGCCAAGTTTGAAGATCCCTGGTGTTAATAATAAAATACGAAATACTAATGCTCTGATGGTCATTTCGAAATATCCTTTCTTAGTGAGCACCTAGAAGCCAAGAGGAACATACGTGCCAAATTTCAAGTTTGTAGGCTTTACAGTTCTGGAGATTTTGTGATGATGCATGAGGGGTATTTCGCATTTATATATATAGATGTATAATGTACACTGAAGATGACATTTAATTTCATTGTACAAGGTGCAATGACAATAAACGAAATGAAACGAAACGAAACGAAACCAAAACTAAAACTAAAACTAAAACTAAAACTAAAAACTAAAAACTAAAACTAAAACTAAGGAATCAAACTAAAAATATCCAGGATCCATTCACCACAAGACAACATAAAAGGACTCCCATACCAGATTATCATTGCCCGGGTTAACAAGGGCCGCAGCAAAGGGGTTTAATTTAGTCCTGGTTGCATTTTTCCCCCATATTTCTCTTTTGAATAATATTCTTTCATATTGTCCCATCCCATTTCGATCTCTGTCCACATTACCTGCGGGAGCAGTGGGGTCCCTCAGCCACCCCTTGGCCTGGTTCATCTTCGAATCGATTAAAGCCAGAGCTCTCTTCATCGCTTCTGTGTCCTTTGCAGGAAAAGGAGAAAACAGGAGATTATCCTCATAGATGAACTAACAAAATCCAACTTAGTTGATGCAATTTACAATGCAAAAGTCTTCTTGGGTTTGCAGGCAATGCTCTCCCGTGAGAAGCCAACTCATGGAATTGGTCAGCTGCGCGCGTATGAAACATCGGGCGCATTTCTGTTATTCAAAATGCATGAGGTATAGGGCATGCACTCTATAAGGCCTTATTGAGATCCATTGTTTTCCAAGCACAGAACACTCCAGAGAAAAAGAAACAGGTTGGCATTCAGAAGAAGTGTTAAATCTTTACCCTCAGAAAATGGAATAATAGCCACAGACAACACCCCCATGCACCCTTCTCTGCCCACTCCCTTCATGGCTGGTGAAATTATTTTTATTTATTGGTATCTAATGGATTAAAGCAGAGACGTCCCCCTGCCAACAAAAGTGCGTAGAGTCAAAGCTATGGCTTTCCCAGTTGTAATGTAGGGCTGTGAAAGTAGGACTATAAGAAAGGCTGAGCGCCAAAGAATGCAGGCCTTTAAACTCTGGGGCTGGCGAAGACTCCTGCGAGTCCCTTGGACAGCAAGTTGATCCAACTGGTTGGTCCTAGAGGAGATCATCCCTGACTGCTCTTTAGAAGGCCAGATCCTGAAGAGGAAACTCAAAGACTTTGGCCACCTCATGAGAAGGAAGGACTCACTGGAGAAGAGCCGGATATTGGGAACAAGCAAAAGAAGAACGGGACGGCAGAGAAGGAGGTGGCTGGGTGGAGTCACTGGAGCAGTCAGCGTGAGCTTAAATGGACTCTGGAGGATGGCAGAGGACAGAAAGGCCTGGAGGAATGTTGTCCATGGGTCGGACACAACTTCGTGACTAACAACAACAACAAAACGCATTAAAGAGAAGGAAAAAAGATGACACCATGCCCCATGGATTAATTAGATATAGCACTGGATTATAAATTTTCTAAAAGCCCCCCATTTCCTAGTTCTTATTTCTCAGATAAAATGATGGCTGACTACACCAGCAATATGAAGGTTCCTACAAGCGTAGAAAGTGTAGTCTCCCTATTCACACCAACACACCTTTGGGACTGCCATGGAAATGTTTCAAAAGAGCCCATGAGAAGGTCAAAGTCAAGGTCCAATAGAAAATGCTCTTTTGCCAATCACCACAGCACCACGTAACACTCCAAACACAAAGCAGATACCCAGCTGGGTTCTTCAAACCTTGCATCACACCACAAGATGCAATTTAGAGTGTGAAAAGACTTCAATGAGATGTATGAGATGAGATATATATATATTCTGAGGTTTTCACGGGTATTTGTATGTGGATCTTTGGTTATTCGGGTTTTCTCCCGTGTAAAATTGGAAGTATCTAGGCGACGTTTCGATGAAGTCTCATTCATCATCTTCAGGCTTGTGTCTTCGGCTTTGTGCTTCTCAGAGTAATTATTAATTATTACAAAATAATCATTACTCCGAGAAGCACAAAGCCGAAGACACAAGCCTGAAGATGATGAATGAGACTTCATCGAAATGTTGCCTAGATACTTCCAATTTTACGCGGGAGAAAACCCGAGTAATCAAAGATCGATTGATCTATCTATCTATCTATCTATCTATCTATCTATCTATCTATCTATCTATCTATGTTTTCTTAAGTTTTCATGGGTATTTATATGTATGGTATTCAGCTTTGTTCAGGTATTTTCCCACGTTGTTATATTTGGGTTTGGGGTTATTTTGAGAGACTACGGGTCATCACATTTTGACTCCTGCAAATTCTAACTGCACAGTTGCAAACTTATATCCATAGCTCCCACCTGCAAGCCACGAGGAGGATCATGGTAATCTCCTCCTGAGTAGACCTCGCTTTTTCCTGATCCTCTCCTCCCTGCGTGACCTAGGATGGAGAGGGGATGGGCCTGGATCCTCCTCTGATTGCTCAGCCTGCCTCTGCCCTTCCCCAGCCTCCTCCACCACCTCCGGAGCCACACTCCCACTCCCTGTTGGCTGTTCCTCCTCTCCCTCAGAGTCAGTCTCCACCAGGGGTATGACAAAAGGTGAGTACAGGTAGTCCTTGACCTATGGCCACTGTTGAGCCCAACATTTCTGTCACTAAGACAGTTGTTAAGTGAGTTGTGGCCCATTTTGCGACCATCTTTGCCACAGTTGTTAAGTGAAATCCTGCTCTCTCCTCCCCATTGACTTCGTTTGCCAGAAACCAACTGGGAAGGTCACTGTGATGACCCAGGGCACGACACAAAAATAACAAAGTCACAACCAATGAAAGGGATCAAGGCCTTTTTCTCTCTTGTAAGCCATGTTGCTCCCTTCTCCGTTCCTCCCTGCATGCCCTAGGATGAAGAGGGGATGGCCCTGGGTCTTCCTCTGAATGCCCAGCCATACTGTGCCCTTCCCTAGTTTCCTCCACAGCCACCAGAGCCACACTCCCACTCCCTGTCAGCTGCTCAATCTCCCCCTCAGAGTCAGACTCCAACAAGGGCATGATGGTCACAAATGGAGACCTCATGATCCCGGGACACCAACAACCGTCATAAATATAAGTCAGCTGCCAAGTGACTGAATATCGATCACGTGGCCATGGGGACGCTGCAATGGTGTCAACTCAAAAAACATTTCTATGCCTGTTTTAGGGTTGCCACAAACAGACGTGGGGAGGGGGTGGAATTTGAAAGAGCACTGCAGCAGTTTGGAAACGAAAGTGCATCCCATTATTATCTTGCAAAGATTGTAACTAAGCGACTGGAGTTTCTGGCGCCCGCAAATCACTAATTGGAGAATGTAATTGATGACTCTTGGCTATGGACGTGTTTCGGTTGGAGAATATGAATTACGATGCACCCAGAGGGTGGGGGGGGGGGGAAATGAGGATCCAGGGTGACAGGGAATTACGCATCTCAGAATCGGCTGCAAACAGATCATGCCGACATGTTTGCTCCTAATAAATTTTTTATAGTTTTTGAAACTTGGCTGACAAATGGTGAAAAACGATTGTAAGTCACTTTTTTCGGTGCTGGTTGTAATTTCAGTCACTTAAAGCAATGGCTGTAAAGTCGAGGACTACCTGAAGGGTAACACTCGCCACACAGGAAACCACACAACACACAGCAAACACCCCCCCCCCCCCAGTCATGCTTTTCTGTTTTAGTAGAAAAGGCAGCAGTTGTGGGTTGAGGAAGAGATCTTACCTTCTAAAAGGGTGAGGGGAAAGGAGAAAATTAAGGAGAAAGATATATATGGATATATTTATAAGTAGTAGTTCTAAGAAAGAAATTATAATTAATAGCGGGCTAATCTGTTTGCAGTCTTAAGCGATAAGGGCCATCCTCTGCAGAGACTCACACATAATCACAGTTCTTCCTTCTGTCTATCACAATGTTTAATAAGTCAGAATTCAACTCCTTTTTCACAGATTTGTGATTTAGTACAAATAGTGATTTGGAGATTGCAATTCCAAGGAAGCAAAGCGTGACTAAACTCTACGTGCTTATCTATTTATGCTTAAATCAATATGTTTTTCTTTAAATACCCTACAAATTACTACTCTTTTAATCTTCTCATCACTCCTTATCACCCATCCCCTCCCACTTGTGACTGTATGACTGTAACTTTGTTGCTTTTATCTTTACAATTTATATGGACTGTTTCCTAGCTTGATTTGATTGCTTATTGTACCCTATGACTATTATTAAGTGTTGTACCTTATGATTCTTGATGAATGTATCTTTTCTTTTATGTACACTGAGAGCATTTGCACCAAGACAAATCCCTTGTGTGTCCAATCATACTTGGCCAATAAAGAATTCTAATTCTAATTCTAATTCTCATTCTCATTCTTTTCAATCCTATCCTACAAGTCAGTTTACAGATAGCAAGAGATACAATGCTGGGACAGTAAGTCAGAAAGCCGCAGAATCAAAACTAAATCATCTATATTTAATGACCCCATAACCCCTTGCGGGGTGGAGTCTGTGCAACTGAACGGAGCTAGCAGAGTGTTTTAATGGCTGGGTGCCTTTCCTGTCGCTAGTGTGGAGTTTTGTTCAGCAGATGTGCCAGAGAGAGAAATATCTGCCTTGACCTGGGATCGAACTCACAGATTGTGAGGCAAGAGCACCACCTATAGGCCACCGAATCGAAACTAAATGTTGATTAATTTTCCCAGCAGAGCGGAAGAAAGGGGCTCAGTCCTTCAGGCCACCTCCTCCCAGAGGGACACCCTCTGCTAAAACATAGTTTATCCTTACATGGAAACTGGATAGAAATGCACAGCTTCTGAGATGTTTTGACAGCTCTATGGCTCTCAACCCATTAAAATAATTAAAAGTCTCTGAAAACAGTCAAACCCATTTGTGCTGGTTGGCTGACTGGAAATTTGCAGCTTTTCAACCAACATCAAAAATTCCTTTTAATCAATTTAGGTCTCAAGTCATAAATCTGAGGGGATTTTAAGGTGTCCATCTCAGAACTTGACTCCAGGAAGGAAGTCCACACCAATCATTTTAGGATGTGGGAACTTCAACTCCCGAGATGCCCTTAGGATGTCCCCAAGTCCACGCATCTTAAAATGGGTGAGATTGAAAAACAATGATGTAGAGTAACATCCAGATTATGATACTTCATTTGCTTATTGGGTTGTGTCCCTGCCGGGAGATGCAATTTTAAAACAAATAGTCATCCAATTTTGTTGGAAATCTGCATATATTTAATGTTCTGCTAACAAAGGAATTGCATTGTCCTAAAGGTAAATTCATATACCAAAATTAACTGACATCACTCTATAAATTAGTACTTGTGGTTTGTTTGTTTGTTTGAAATATGGGTTCATGTCTAATCCTAACTCACTCTCAACCTAGACAGCACACTTACTTTGCTGGCCCAAGCATCTTCGTCCCAGGAAGTCAGCTGCAATACACGGATTATTTCATTTATTTCTGTACTCATCTTATCCACTGTAAATTTGCGGTTTTTCAAGGCTTCCTCAATTCCCTGGTTCTGAGAGTTTTTAGTTGTTACAAAAATCTTCATTGCTGCAGAAATGAAACAGAGGGTCAAACCATATCAGGAAGATACGCTAGGAAATGTCCTTTTAACGTAAACATGGGCAAAATAAATGGTGATATTCAATGGCCATATTCCCGAATTGATTAAAATAGTAGGATACAAACTTAAGGAAAGAAAAGTGTATTAAAAAGAAAGAAAGAAAGAAAGAAAGAAAGAAAGAAAGAAAGAAAGAAAGGAAGGAAGGAAGGAAGGAAGGAAGGAAGGAAGGAAGAAAGAAAGAAAGAAAGAAAGAAAGAAAGAAAACAGCTTAGAAAACATAAAAAGAAATACATAAGGATGTGACTTCCGACTTTCACCATCACAATTTAAACAATTGTAGTTACTCTTTATCCCTTCTAAAGTTATATTTATCTCTTTATCCCATATCTCATATTTAATTATAAACAAATCCATAAATCATATTTTCAGTCCTGAAGTCAGCAGGAAGCCCAAAAATGGGTAGCCAGAGGTTACATTGTATTATAATCTTGATCAAATAAACCATATTTATATCCCTTTCTTTTACTTCTAACAGACTTAATCTTTGGTTCATTCAAATATTGTTGTAGGATTTGATTTATCTTAATTTCTTCTTTATCCTATGATACAAGAGTTTTTCAAGGCTTTAAACAAGCCTCTTTTGTAAATCCAATAGGGAAAAATATATCCATTAAAATCTCAGCCAATTTCTTTGGTAGACCCAGTGAAACATCCTGTTTTAAATCATGCTCTTTGCTTTTGTCAGTTGTAAATCCACTTTCGATATCATTTCTATCTTGTCAGATACAATTTGTTTTACATCTGACATTTCTTCAAAAACATCTTTTGGACATAGTCTACCTATAGAAGCACCATCGTTACTGATGTTGTTGATATTGGGAGCTATGACATTCTTCAAAAGTCTTTTAAAAAAGCTTGTGCAATTCACATTGGCAGATTCTTTTTTTTTCTGAAATAATCAGAAAGAGTTTTTTTTTTTTTCCTTGTCAAGATTTCAAGCTCGGACCGCCAGTGTTCAGTAACATTTCTTTTCTTAATCACAATTATTGGTATTGTTTGAGCGAAATGTTTGTGCTTTTCAGCAAATGTAAAGACTGGATCTGAAATCAAATATTAGCAAGATCTTCATCTGAACTGCAGTGCTGGAGTCCATTTCAAGGCAAATATACCAACATATAAATAGCCCATCCATTCACATGTCTCGAGAAGCCCAGCTTCCAGAATGTAAATAGGAGATATGTAGTCCATGTCAGCTGAGAACTTCTACCCCACATAAAACAGCCACAAATAAAATCACAGATTTAGTTATACGGTAGGGTTTATCAGACATATGAGGAGAGTTTATTTTTGAACACCTTTCACTATGCGTATTCCTTTGCTTCACAAATTTATGGCATATGTCTTCACCAGTGGTAGGATGCTGCCGGTTCACACCAGTTCTAGCGAACCGGTAGCGCCAGTGAGCAGTTGGCCCCGCCTTTTCCTGTTTTATTTCCTTGTTTGTGAGCTCAGCTGATTCGCGTGGCAGAGTGGAACTGCCACACCTCAGCTGTTTTACTCACCAGCGCTGAATACCAGGTCAGTTTTGAAGCGTAAAATCAGCAGTTTTTGAAGGCGCACAAGAAGCAAAGTGCTTTCTCATAGAACCAATAGTTTAAAAAAAAAAGGCGGGGGGTGACTTCCACCACTGGTCTTCATACAATCCCATGGTTTCCATACTAAGTTTTGATCTTTAGTTTACCTGAAATAAGGACGGGGAGGAGATCCTTCACCGTGTTCATAGAGTTGACCAGCATGACTCGGTGCTCTTGGTGAGTCAGTTCTTGCTGCCGCTCGTCAATCATCTTGGCCATCTTTGTCATTCCTGCATCAAGGAAATGGAAGAGGTTGTCTTCAAGAGGCCACGTGTTGAGATTTCAGGCAAGAGCAAACCACATTAAAGGACCACTGAAAATGCTGTTTCTCTTCAGGGGAAGTTTTTATCATTTTACCATATCTCCTTCCTCCTCAGTTCAGCGAGGGGGCTGTAGGGCAAATTCTTTTTTTTTTGGAAACATAAGATGGCTGTGAAATGTGGTGCTTCACTTTTCAATACATCAGCCTCTTGAAACAGGGAGCTAAAGAGACTCTGGTGGGCAGCACGAGAACCTGTGGTCTCATTAGTCCTTTAGAAGGACCCCACTTTCAGTGACTAGCCCTGTCCGTGTCTTTTAAAAAATTTTTTAAACCTTTATTGAAATTTGAAACATTAAAAGACAAGTAGATCTAAAAATAACATTGTACAATTCTCCATCTTCTTTTGACAGTACAAAAAAATCTTGATTATATTCATACATTTCCATACATTTCTAGTTAATCGTATACATATATTCATATCTTCTTCTGATCTATACATTTCTTATTCCTACTATCTATCCATTGATACCAGTTATCCCAAATGGAATAATATTCCGAGTCTTCCTTATTGTTTAATTCTATAGTGAGTTTGTCCATTTCTGCACAATCAAAAAAAAAATATATTTGGGGAGTAAACAATCTGTCGGTATAGTGGCTATTTCCCAAGATTGTGCAAGTGCAGTTCTTGCTGCTGTGGTAATGTGGTAATATTTTATCTTTTTAGGATACTTTCCCTTCATAATCCCCAATAGAAACAATTCCGGCTTCAATTCTGTTCGGCATTGTGTAATTTCAAACCCTGTCCATGTCTTGATGGGCTTACTGATGGAAAGGGTTGGCTTTGGTTAATCCTGGAAGGAGCAATCGTAGGAATCAAAGCTATGGCTGCTGTCTTTTGATCTCTTGACTCCTTGACTAGTCCAACATTTGAAACTATTTGGCAATTTCTGCAAGCCAGGAAAACTGGGTCCATCTGAAGGTGTCGGATCAAAATCCGGCCACTCCTTCTCTGCAGTGCTTTCAAAGGGCAATGAATCCCACACACACAGCTCAGGAGAATCCAAGAAAACCACATCCTGGAAGTCTTAAAGGTGCTTTTTTCAAGAGGCCACTGAACTTTCTGGTTTTGCTTTGAAGACGTTTTCGCTTCTCATCCAAGAAGCTTCTTCAGCTCTGACTGGATTCCTTTCTCCACCATCCAGTCAGAGCTGAAGAAGCTTTTTGGATGAGAAGCGAAACGTCTTCAAAGAAAAACCAGAAAGTCCAATGGCCTCTTGAAAAAAGCACCTTTGGGACAACCATGATCTGGGTGACTGAGAAATCTCCACAGATACATTCTAGAAGGTTCTGGATGAAAACAACAGACCAATCCCCAGGAAGTCAGAGACATCCAAGGGCTCTCTAACCTGGTCCCAAATTCTTTGTGTAGGTCACCAAGTCTTCCATTGTCTCCACCACTTCAGCCACTGTGAGGTATTCCAGAATTCCTTTGCAGACGCGGATGATTTTACGGACCTGAAAGAAAATAAATACAACTATGAAATAATTGAGTGGGTTCTTTTTTTCATTTCTTTTGTTACCAGCCGATTGTTTTAAATTAAATTGAACTTAGGCAAGAAAAACAAAAAGTACACATATAGACTGGGTGAAACCAGGTTTAATAGCAATAACTGTGACAGGGATCTTGCAGTCTTAGTGGACAACCAATTAAACATGAGTCAACAGGGTGTGGTGGCAGCCTGTAGAGTTATAATCGCAGGAATGTTCCAATCTCAGATGGCAAACCTCAGATAAAGAATGTTTCCAAGCAAATACAACTCAGGCAAACCAAGTCACTAATCTATGGATAAAGGAGGATTAGAGAGGGGAAGTAGACATATGTTAGACTTTAACTAGAGATAATTAATTGTAAGGATTACTGTACTAAACAGTAACGAAAGTTAAGCAGTAACCAAAGTTAACCAATGATGGAGGATAACTAAAAATGTATATAAATGCAAGACTATACTCCAGTAAAGATCATCATAATTCAGTGGTTCATGATCAAACAACTCAACTGCCTTGTCATTACAACAGCAGCCAAAAATGCCAACACAATTCTAAGTTACATTAACAGAGGGATACAATCAAGATCAAGGGAGGTACTAACACCACTCTATAAAGCCTTAGTACGACCACACCTAGAATTCTGCACCCAGTTTTGGTCATCAGACTATAAAAAAGGATGCTGAGATTCTAGAAAGAGTGCAGAGAAAAGCAACCAAGATGATGAGGGGACTGGAGGCTAAAACATACGATGAACAGTTGCAGGAACTGGGCCTGGCTAGTCTAGGGAAGAGAAGGACCAGGGGATAGCAGTCTTCCAATATTTGAGGGGCTGCCACAGAGAGGAGGAGTGGGTCAAGCTATTTCCCAAAGAATCCGAAGGCCAGACAAGTAATAATGGATGGAAAATAATCAAGGAGAGGTTCAATCTGGAAATAAAGACAAATTTTTTGACAGCGAGAGCAATCAACCCATGGAACAGCAGTTTCCTTCAGAGGTTGTGGGAGCTTCATCCCTGGAAGCTTTCAAGAAGAGACTGGACTTTCATCTGTCAGAAATGGTGTAAGGTCTCCTGCTTGGGCAGGGGGTTGGACTAAATGTCCTACAAGGTCCCTTCACACTCTGTTAATCTAATCTAAAAGAATAATAAGAGCCAGCTTGCAGAGTTAGCAGTCAGTCAATTCAAAAATTTAGCAAGAAGACCACAAATGATTGGGTTGAGCCACATTGAGCCATAAATGATAGTTAATAAACAATAATAATTTATTGCACATTAAGTCCAAACAATGTGAAGGCTTCACGGGCAGTGTGAACCCAATCTAATTCTGTCTTCACCCAGATGTCTGTCTCTCTGGGTGAACATTCAGATGTTGCCATTCTACCAACAAACACAAAAATACAAGCAAGTTTGCTTCTAGTTAAAGTTCTCTGTACTGGTGAATATATATAACTTTTAAAAGGGCAGATTTGAGAATATACTACCCAATTTCAAAGCTTTCCAGACATTACCCTTGTGGTGAAGGCACCAGGCTAGAAATCAAGAGACTGCGAGTTCAAGTCCTTCCTTAGCCATGAAAGCCAGTTGCGTGACTTTGAGCCAGTCATTCTCCCTCACCTCACAGGGAGGTTATTGTGGGGAAAATGGGAGGAGGAGGAAGGCATGTTGGATATGTTCACCAACTTGGGTTGTTTGTAAAAGCAATAAAGGTGGGATACAATTAAATAAATCAAAATAATACCAAGAGTTCTTAAGATAGTGGCGGCTTGCATGCAAAGGTGTCCATGCACGGAGAAGTTAAAAAAAAAGTCAACATGACTCTTGCAACTATCTTGACTTTCTCAATTCCTCTGTGGACTTTATTTTTGTCCCTATCTGTAGTTGTCCCTGTTTATCTGCATGACAATTAATGAGTCATAATCAATGCTAAGGGACGCGGTGGCTCAGTGGCTAAGACGCTGAGCTTGTCGATCAGAAAGGTTAGCAGTTCAGCGGTTCGAATCCCTCACGCCATGTAATGGAGCGAGCTCCCATTACTTGTCCAAGCTGCTGCCAACCTAGCAGTTTGAAAGCATGTAAATTAAACGCCAAGTAGAAAAATAGGGACCACTTTGGTGGGAAGGGAATGCCTTCGGGCGTTTAGTCATGCTGGCCACATGACCATGGAGACGTCTTCGGACAGCGCTGGCTCTTTGGCTTTGCAATGGAGATGAGCACTGCCCCCTAGAGCCAGAAACGACTAGCACGTATGTGCGAGGGGAACCTTTACCTTTAATCAATGCTAATCAAACCATCCTCAGGCATTTAATTTTCATGCAAATTCGTGGTTAATTTCAATGCTAATTAAACTGTCCTCAGGCATTTAATTGTCATGCAAATTTCATGGTTAAGCCTTCCTAAAACTGAGTAAAAAAGCAGGGGAACATCCCACCAGCACCAACCAACACACACACACACACACACACACAGACGGATTGCATCCCAGGACATAATGTTCAGGCAAGAAGAGATGTGAAGTCCATTTCAGAATCCCAAATTGTAGGCATGGCTCAGAAACAATGTTTAAACCTTCTTTGAACAAAAAATAATAATAACAAAAGCAGGATTCTTTGGGAAAAAAAATAAATACCCCAAATCCCAGTTTCAAGGCCTTAAAATGGCATTTTGCTACTAGTTTTTGGGAGCACACCCTGCAGCATTTTTTCTTTCTGATGGTAAGACGATCTTCGAGTAGGCAGAATGGTCTGGGGCGTATCAGTCCCAGAGAGCCCCATCTTGTGCAATAAAGAACATGGTGCTGATGCAAAATAAGGAAGGAATAAAAAAATCCTCGCTAAACAGAAAACAGTATCCAAGATTAATATTTCAGCTGAATCTCACCCCATTGCTCCCGTTACACCCGAGCAAAGAACAATTCTCCAAACGGAAGTTTCTGCTAGCAGAGAATGTTCGGTACCAGAGTGACATCTTTCATACGAGTTCAGTGGTTTAACCAGCATTCAATACATGCTAGAAGCCCTAAGGCAGGAATGTGCCTTTAGATAACTTAGATCACAGAGCATAGAAACGTAAGGCTGGAAGGGACCTTGGAGATCTTCTAGTCTAACACCCTGGGGACCGTGTAATTCCCAGCTTCCGACCCACCGTTGCCTTTTTACAGTCATTTTAGAAATCCCACCTCGGCTTCATCAAAGGTCAGAAGTAAGTCCGACGTCCCCGAAAGGATTCCTCGGGACCCATCGATCAGGTAATCGCGAGCAGTGACTGAATAAGGATCCGTTTGGAGCATCTGAGCTGCCTGGACAAGTTTTGTGCAAGCATTTTCCACTCTGTAAAGAAGGATAATCAAAGCAAAATTAATGTTGGTCCTGCTACCTCCGGAAGCACAGCTGAGAGCAATGTAGGCAGTCCTTGAACTTATAATGAACCTCCCCAGGGCTAGTTACAACCTGTTCTGACCAAGGCTTATTAAAACACTACCAAACACACGTTAGTCCCCAAACCCTTTTTTCTTTATTTCAACGGCTGTGAATTATAGTCATTCACAGCCCGTAATGAGTCTCACACAGTTTGTAAATAGTCTCATGGAAGTCTGCCAAAGTCCTTCGGGATAAGTCTGATAAGCACCCACCTTTATCTTCCTTGAAATGCTGCCAACGACTAAATTTCCAATTAGTTAGACAAGGCCAAACGGAGCACAAATTCAACACAGAGCTTCAAGTTTCAAAGCAATCAGAGCGAACTAAGTTGCTTCCTGCAAAGGCTTGTGTCCCTTTGCTCCTCCTTTATGTCTTATAGGAGGGCCAATCACCTCCAAGCCGCCCCTTTTGTCTTAACCGCTCTTGCCTTCTGGCAGTTCTGCGCAAGCGCACTGGGAACAGGCTCCCTTTGTTCCTCTGCCTCGCTGCTGTCAGATTCTGGAGGCTCCAGAGTCAACACACAACTCCCAGATGGCCCTGGTCCCATCTCTGTGTTGGATGCAGATCCCTCATCTGAGTCCTCCCCAGACTCCCGGACTGGTTCCTGTTCCTCCCCACTGTCCAACTCTGCCGCCATCTCTGCAGGCTGTCGGCAGACCACAACACAACCTAGATTTGAAGGTGCACATTTACAGTCACTCGTAGCATCCTGTGCAAAGGCGGTATTCAGCAGATTCTGACCAGTTCTGGAGAACTGGTAGCGGAAATTTGGAGTCATTCAGACAACCAGCCAATACCACCTCTGACTGTCCCCACCCCCCTCTATTCTCTGCCTCCCACTGAGTCCCAGCTGATGGGCTGGGTCTTCTTTGGTTGCCCTGCACAGGAGAACAGAGCTGGAAAGCAGGTTAGTGGGGTGGAGAGGGAATAGGGATTTTGCAATCAGCTTCCCCTACCATACCCACCAAGCCACACCCACAGAACCGGTAGTAAAAAAATTTGAATCCCACCACTGGGATCCTATTGTCACATGATTTGCGATGTGCTTTTTGCCAGAGGCTGGTGTTCACTTCAGGTATCTGACAAAACAACAACAACAACAACCCAACCTTTATGGACATTAATCTCTCTCTTAATGACTGTAGCATTTGTTTTATAGACACCTTGTTCCCTTAATGACAGCCACAAAAACAGTTGTAAAGTCGGACATGGTCGCATGGTAACTTGATGCAACTTATGACTGTGATTCTGGGCTCAACTACGGCCACAATGCAAGGACAGCCTATATCTCTCTTTGAAAATCTTTCGCTTATGCGGCATAATTATTATTTTAATGCAAGGATCCACCCCATTTTGGAACTGCCAGATATATTTGGGTTTGCAGCAATGGATCTATTCACAACATGACTTTCCCTGTAGACGGAATCGATCACAAACACCAATTTTCCAGGGAAGGGGGAATTGATAAGGTTAAAGAGAATACAGATCGATCCAACCGATCCTTCAGCGGTGGGTTTGGAAGCCCTCAAATTTAAGGTGATTTTTCTGAGCCCAACTTTCAACGCCGATGCTCTTTTCACAAAAGGAAAGCAATTGATCCTCAAGGGCAGGGTAATATTCCATGTCTAACAATATTCCCCCACCCTTCAAGAACAGAGCAAAATATTCATTTCACAGAAGGGAAAGGGTTGATGTTCAAAATAACACGCCCCACCCAAGCCACAAACAAACATTCTCACAAATATCCGTTTTTTGGGAAACAGTAAAAAAACATACAAGACGCATTTCATAATGACCTTCAGTTTTCGAAGATGCTTGCCCATTCCACAGTTTCCTCCTGTTGCTTTTTTTGTTATTTTGTTCTGGCTTAACTGAGAAGGCTTCTAAATAAAATGCTGTGATGACCCAGGATGGGATACAAAACGGACACAGTCACAGAAAACAGGTGAAGCCCCTTGTATTCCTTCAGTTTGCTTCCAAGCTCCAAATATCTTTGACGGAAGACAAAAAAACTCCCACACAAACAGTTACGAAAAGGAGGGGGAAAAAACAACAAAAACCAGGCTAGATAAGGGCTGCAGGATGTCCACAGATAACACACACTGGGAAGGATGCCAAACTCAGAGAGGAACAATAAACTAGAGATATAAGTCTAAGTGCTGTTGCTACTGAGAACTTGGCCTGCAGGTTCCTAGTATTAGCTCCAGCAACAACTGTGATGACCCAGGGTGGGATACAAAATAAACACAGTCACAAAAAACAGGTGAAGTCCCTTTTATTCCTTCACTTTGCTCCCAAACTCCAAATATCCTTGACTGGAGACAAAAAAAAACTCCCACACAAGCAGTTACAAGAAGGAGGAGGTGCTGTTTAAATTATAAAGAGTTAAAAAACAACACAAACCAAGCAAGATAAGGGCTTGAAGATGTCCACAGATATCAGAACACACACTGGGAAGGACGCCAAACTCAGAGAGGAACAATAAACTAGAGATATTTCCATGCTTTGTTTCCAGCACTTGCCCATATGCATGTCTGTCCTTTTATCCAGTTGTCACAGCTGCAGCCCATGAAGAGGATCAAGGCCCTCTCCTCCTGAGTAGGCCATGTCTCTCCCTTATCCTCTCCTCCCTGCGTGCCCTAGGATGGAAAGGGGATGGGCCTGGGTCCTCCTCTGACTTCCCAGCCAGCCTCTGCCCTTCCCCAGCCTCCTCCGGAGCCACACTTCCACTCCCTGTCGGCTGTTCCTCCTCTCCCTCAGAGTCAGTCTCCACCAGAGGCATGACAAATGCTGGACTGGAAACCCCCCCCCCCCCCTATTTTTACTATCTGAGAATGACTCCCACTTCCCAATTTGGGTTTAGACGCTTTCTTAAAAAACATGACAGGACACATACACTGCATCAGTATTTCATCTATTAGCGCACAGCTTCCCAAGAGTTTTAGAAACATTTTTTTAAAAAAAATCAAAGAAAAACCAATACAAAGAGTGACCCCACCTAGCCACTGCATTACTGAACAGCATCGTGGGATTTTTATTTTTATTTTACTGCAGATCCTTTATTGGGGGCAAAAGGACAGTATTTCTGAAATCAAAGAAAGAAAGCTCCTGTAAGTAAAAAAAAAAAAAAATCAATCTGGGAATTTTCTACCAGCAAATAAAAGTCAAGAAAAATTGGTTAGCATGGAGGAAGTGGAAAAATCTGCCACAAGATCAAGTAAATTCAAAAATTTAAAACTGAGTCCTCAATTTATAACTGATCACTGAACCACTGTTTCAACAGCCTTGGATAGCAGCCTTGTCTTTGTAAAACATTGTGCCCTCTTCCCCCCGCCACCCCATGGTCACACAATTGCTATCCAGGTGCTTGGCAGCCCGTCCGCACTTATAAAGTTTCCAAGTGCCCTGTGATCATGAGATCACCACCTGCAGTCTTCTCTGCAGGTTTCAATCGGGAAGCCAGCAGGTTTCAAGGTTGCAAGCAGCTCCCATCAGCCACACAGCTGAGATTCCTCCCTGTTATGTCTCACCTGTACCAACAAGGTGAGAAGTCCAAATTTCCAACTGAATACAAACAAGCAAGTAATTACAGGGTTAAATTCCTTGAACTGATAAAGTTCTTGGCAGTTTCACACAAGCAGGAATATAAATCACAAGCTGTCACCGCACACAGGATACTCCGAAGCTTCTCTCACTAAGTAACACGTTGTCCCGAACAAGTTCCCAGAGCGAACACACCCACTTTTATTCCCTGTGGGGCGTGTCAGTCCCTCATCTCAGTCTCTGATTCGTCCTTTCTTTCTGCGTTGCAGCTCACACTTTTGCCTGCGCCGTTGCCTCGCATCAAGCCAGCATTCCTCAGCTTGATCCTCAGTCAGAGGCTCTGATACGCCCCTCTGGTTATCTGCCGACACCTGAGGCACAATCAGGGAGGAAGGTATTGCCGAAGAGGAAAGTCCTGGGGAGGAAGGCAACTCCAAATCCTCTAACAAAGCAGGCTCAAACCTCAGAGCCAAATCCTCCTCTTCCTCATTGTCCAAGTCTTTGTCCTCTAACAGAGCAGGCTCAAACCTCCAAGCCACAACATCTCCCTGGGCACATATCACAGGGATCCCTTCAAAAGCAGAAACGGTTACCTGCTGAAGCCAGACCCTTAAGATCTGAGCTTTGTTTCTGCAGCCCGATGTAGGAACTCCTCCGAAGGGTTGCCAGAATGGGGCTCGGAAATGGAGCAATTCTCTTCCATTCCCCAAGGGAAGACCAACTCCTTCAACGGGGGTGGAGCAGTGGTGGGATTCAATTATTTTTTTTACTACCGGTTCTGTGGGTGGGGCTTGGTGGGTGTGGCAGGAGAAGAATACTGCAAAATCCCCATTCCCTCCCCACCCCACTAACCTGCTTTCCAGCTCCCTTCTCCTGTGCAGGGCAACCAAAGAAGACCCAGCCAATCAGCTGAGACTCTGGAGGCAGAGAATAGATGGGGTTGGCGGGGCCAGTCAGAGGTGGGATTTGCCAGTTATCCAAACTACTCAAAATTTCCGCTACTGGGTCTCCAGAACTGGTCAGAACCGGCTGAATACCACCTCTGGGGTGGAGGAAGGTTGCTCAGATCCTGCAGCCTTTCAGAGGAGTTTCTTTCTGCGCACAGAGAAGAACTACTAAACCCATCAGGCACCTCTTCACTTTGTCCACTTAACCACCCAGGAGATTGCTTAACGACTGCACCTGGGGCAGCCGGGATAAGCAATTGTTCAGCGAAGCAGTCCCATAGGTGTATCATTTAATTGTTGCTTCTCTTAACAACCAAGATTTTGGTCCCCAAGGTGGTAATAAACGGAGGACTAACTTTAGAGCGGTTTGATCAACCTTCGGTGCTCTGATTATCACACTGAGATTTGAGGCAGGGCGGAA